CTGCTTTGATTTTCCTTTATATGTTAAATTAACATAAAGAGGAGAGAGGAGAGAACAGTACTCTTAACGCGGACTATGGAGAAAAATTAGAATTCTTGAAGTTCATAATTTGTTTTTTATTTTTTCTGGAGTAATTAAGAAGTAAATTATGAGCAGATGCTGTTAATCAGGTAAACATGAGCATTGCAATACTACCAATGTCAGCCGAGTACAATTGGAACCCAGCCACAGTCGGTTTGATTCAGTCTTCTTTTTTCTGGGGCTACCTACTTACTCAGGTAACTTTAACAAGCTCTCCCTCTAGATTTCTATACATTTGCTTAGTAATAATTTTATTTTATATTTTTGTTATGATTGATAGATTGCTGGTGGCATTTGGGCTGACACAGTGGGCGGGAAGAGGGTTTTGGGATTTGGCGTCATTTGGTGGTCCATTGCCACGGCTCTTACTCCTGTTGCTGCTAAAGCTGGATTGCCCTTCCTACTCGTTGTTCGCGCGTTCATGGGGGTTGGCGAGGTAAGTTATTTAGCTAAACTATTGATTGACAAACAAGCGTTTTTGTCATATTCTACAGTGGATGTTTGTTAATTTAGTTTGGTGCTGTTTCAGGGGGTTGCGATGCCTGCCATGAATACCATTCTGTCCAAATGGGTTCCTGTATCAGAGAGGAGTAGGTCATTAGCGCTTGTGTATAGTGGGATGTACCTTGGATCAGTCACTGGCCTCGCCTTTTCACCATTCTTAATACATCAGTTTGGATGGCCATCGGTCTTTTACTCCTTTGGTTCTCTAGGAACAGTTTGGTTTGCTGCATGGCTCAGTAAGGTAAAAAATGCTGGTTGTTCTTTATAGACTATCATTATTTTCATTTAGCATGTTTCTTTTCAACTTTTGGACGGAGATGGTAGATTCAAATTCCATTCCTATTACAAGAAGCTTCTTGGTATTAAGAAGTTTGACAGCCTACATGATTAAAATTTTGTTTAGCCTTTAATTTTTCTGTCCATGAAAATTATAATTTTTTATTTAAATTTTGCTTTTTTAATTAAGGGTTCTCTTCCCCTATAAAAAAATGTGTCACCTTTCAAGATGTTCATTCTTCATTCTTTATACCTACAGGCACACAGTTCACCTCTTGATGATCCTCAGCTACGGCCTGAAGAAAAGAATTTGATTTTTGTGAACAGTTCTCCCAAGGAACCTGTTAAATCGATTCCTTGGGGACTGATCTTGTCGAAAGCCCCTGTATGGGCTCTGATTGTTTCCCACTTCTGTCACAACTGGGGTACATTTATTCTTCTTACATGGATGCCAACATATTATAACCAAGTAAGTCTTTCTTTCCAACATGAACTTGAATGATCTGGGTCTGTTGTATCATTTAAAATATATCTTATATGATATCTTGTGAATTTTCAGAGTTAAAACTCTTCATGTGACATTTGGACTGCATTCTTGTTGTGCATGAGTAGCGGTCAGTAATTTTATCTTAGCTTGCTAATGGGTAGAGAAGTCAACTTAGAAACCATTAGCTACAAATAATGTACTGTCAAGATCTTCATAAATTGAAAAGTGGCGAGAATCAATGGGAAACCTTGTATCACTTGCATGAAAAGAGAAACTTGTTGGTGTTGTGACTTGCTACTATTGGATGGCTAACCTTGAAACTACTATGTCAAGTGAATCATTTGATATGAGGCCACCCTTTAATGTTGTGGATTGGCTTAGGATTTTAGAAACCTTGTTGATGTTATCTTCTCACATTGTAAAATGTGAGGTACAGGTAGGAATTGAACCATAAAAAGGTACTTGTTATAAGATACACCTTTTATTTTCAGTTCAATCAATCTTGTACCTTAACCTCCATCTTGTCAAATTCTGCTAACGATACATTGAAACATGGAAGTACATGCTACTGTCTCTTTGACCTACAGTTTTGCTGTTATCTTGCTGACAAATTGTAGAAGACACTTGCAGCCTTGCAATTACATTGCTTACAAAAGCTACCATTCTATTGTTAAAACCGCTGAGCCAATTTCCTTTTGGCCATACAGGTCTTGAAGTTCAATCTTACAGAATCTGGGCTTTTCTGTGTCTTACCCTGGCTTACAATGGCATTTTCTGCAAATTTGGGAGGGTGGATTGCAGATACTCTTGTAAGCAAAGGTTTATCTGTAACAACGGTCCGTAAGGTATCACTAAAGGCGATGCTAAATTCACCAGTCCTTTTCTCTCTCTCTCTCTTTCTCGTCATCTTGGCTTTATTTGCTTCTAAGCACTATTAATTTCATGTTTTTTCTTTGTTCATTAATGCACTTTGCCCTCCTTGGCAGATCATGCAATCAATTGGCTTTCTTGGCCCTGCCTTCTTCCTAACTCAGCTGAGCCACATTGATTCTCCTGCAATGGCTGTTCTGTGCATGGCATGCAGCCAGGTTTGCTTCTTACATTAAGACATGAACAACTAATGTAGTTCTTGCATCTACTATTCGACTTTTTCAAATTTAAGTAGAAATAGACAGTATATGCATTAACGTGCAAAGAGGTTGCCTTGTTTCTCATCTGTATTTTTTATCTGTCTGCTCTTTTATTTGTCTTGTAAGTACTATTTATGTGACCATGCATGGAGTTCAGTTGTCCTGACTGAGAGAAATTTCAGTTTAGAGTTTTATTATTTTTCCTTTTTCTTTTTTTGCTTGAGTGAAATGAGAAGATTTTTTTTTGAAATTCTCTGCTCTTAAACTAACTGCTTCTTTTTCTTCAACAGGGAACCGACGCATTTTCCCAGTCTGGTCTATATTCAAACCATCAAGATATTGCTCCTCGATATTCTGTGAGTATCAATCCTTCTAATGCTGTTGTCTGTTGATGTCCTAAATTTGCCATGTTTAGTGGTGGGGGCCATTAATTGTGTTTTAATTGCTGTCATGAATCATCTACCATGTGGCGCCTTTTTAGGGGTCTGGAAAATTTGATGTTGCATAGCTGTTGTGCTGTCATTGCTTCTATTTCCTCGGAATGATAACTTAATTGTTCCTATTTTTTATTTCTAATTATCATCCAGGGAGTGTTGCTTGGTCTATCCAATACAGCTGGAGTATTGGCAGGGGTCTTTGGAACTGCATCAACTGGTTACATCTTGCAACATGGTAAGAACTCATCCTTGGCATTTATGTTGCTGGTAAGACAATTAAATCATTAATATCTGCTATACTATATTTGAAGAAAAGCAATTAAAAGGTAGAAATTTTCTACAAAGCCAAAGTTGTCCAAGTCACTCCTAGCTTAGTCATTCTGGTCTTGGATTTGGATCGATTTTATTTAAGCTTGAGGTTTTTGTTCAAATTACTCTTGGTATGGTTTTGAAGGCAGTTATTTCTAACTGTGGATTAGAATCAAGTCCTAGTTTTCAAGAGGAAAATTTGGGTGAAAACCTAGATTTTTCAAAATGGAGGTCTCGTATTCAGATTCTTTAATAGGCTAGAGGATGAAGAGGGGTTGCCTTCCATTGTCTAGTGCAAGGTTCAACAAACCATATAAAGCTAAAGGAGAAAAAAGGACTGTCTCCATTTTGTGATGGAGGAACTAACAGTTTTACTCATGTCGCTACTAATGTGGTAACCTGTAATAAGGTGAAATGTGTTCTATTTAATGACATAATATGGCAGGTTCACTCTTTCGATTTCAGATTCTTTCATGTTCCTTTCTCTCATGTTCTGTCATGTTCATTAAATCTAAACCATCAAATTCATATGAATGGGCATGATTATAGCATATTTAAAGATGACAAAAATTAAACTACCTGCTATTTTTTTTTTAAATCCCATCTAATCTAGATAATTAGGCAATCTGACTGTTCATGTTCCCTTCAGAACATGAGAGGACTCAAGACCCACTCTTGAGGACCATTTAATTACTGTCACCCCTAGCATTACTCGCCATAAAATGTAGCCTATTTTATGCTGAAGTTGCGTTCTTGGAGTACAGTTATTTGGGTATCAAGGTTCAATCCCTCTAGTTGTAAATTGTGATGTATTTATTTCAATCTCTAAAATAGTGCCAAAATGTCAGAAGCTAGAATTAAGGCTTCCATTAAATATTCTGATAAGAGAACTTCTTTGAACAGGGCCCTCATTTTATGAATGCAGAAAAAAGAATAGAGAAATGGCCATGCTGCCCTGCTAGATTCTTATTGCCTTAGTTAACAGTTGCCTTTGAATTCAAGCTCTTGTCTGCTTTAGAAACTTAGATCTACGTCAGCCAATTCCTGTGTGGCTCACTCACCACCTTCATTGAAATTTAACACTCTGAATTTTACACCATCTGATTATTGTGCATTTCTTCTCTCCCTTGTTGCCATCTCAGGTTCTTGGGATGATGTTTTCAAGGTTTCAGTTGGGCTCTACTTGGTTGGTACAGTGGTCTGGAACCTCTTTTCAACTGGTGAGAAAATATTGGATTAACTTTCATGGAAGCCAACATAGGTGACGGCTCAAGGCCAGTGATTCCCGAACCAATGCAGAAGGCTCAGATGATTGAATGGTAAAAGGTGAAATTGTGAACGAGATTAAATTGAAGAACAACTAGACAAATCTCACACGGGATTCTTGAGTTTGAGGAACTGGCAAATGATTTTGAATGCCAAATATAGCTCAAGTTTAGAGTTGCATGCATGTCTGGGGCTCTAGCACAAATGAAACAGTTGCATGCATCTCAATGAAGAATGTACCTGTAAAGTATCTCCGGCCCTGCTTGTAAATGTTTCATTCAATACCTAATGAATCAGTTTTGTATTTTCAGTATGATTCTTCATTTCTTTTTTTGTCCTATAGTTATATTATTTAATTAAGTAAAATTTCATTAGCCTTCTTTTCCTGTTTATAAATATTTTGGCATCATCTACATTTGTGATTTGTGACAGTGCACACAAAACTCTCATTGCAGTAGGGTAGGAAATTTCACGCAGATTCTTAAGCGTTATATGTTGAAGCAAGCAAGATTTAGTAATAGTAATTAAAGCGTATAATTTTTCTTCTATTCACGTAATTAATTATTTGAAAGCAACATCCGCTGGTATGGAATATACAACATTACATGACAATTACTCCTAATTTTGAATGGCTCGTACAGCCTCCTCCAATCTAGATGCAGCTGTATGTAGATTGAACCCATCAATGAACAAGGAATTTAAAGACGAAAACTAAAAACAATTTAAAATGACCCTTTAACAGAATTATGGGCAGTAAAGCCCCAATGATTGTGACTGAATGACTGCATTGGCCCTGTCTCCTGTAAAAGCCAAGCAATGCAAAGTTGAGCGACTCCAGAAATCTGATGATGTGGAAACCATTCCTATGCAAGATTACGAGGATGCAAGAATACACGAAGCCCATTCTTCATGAACAATGTAAGAGACATCTTCTGCTCTATGCAGTGGCCGGGAACCAGTGACAATCGGTAGCGCAACAGCACGGCAGAAGCCACAGACTTCATTTGCAAGTAAGCCAAGTCCTTCCCTAGGCAAGTCCTGGGTCCAGCATTAAAGGCCACAAACTTGTAGCAGTCTTTAGGTGCTTCAAATCTGTCCTCTTCTGGTGATAGCCATCGCTCTGGTTTAAATTCCTGGCAGTCCTCGCCCCATATGCTCTTCATCCTCCCCACAGAATAAATAGAATATGTAACAGTGGAACCAGCTGGTACACATGTACCGTCAGGCAAAACATCGTCCGCTACTACGTATTTGAAATCTTGTGGCACTGACGGGTATAAACGCAGTGTTTCAGCTAATGCTGCTTTGAGATAAACCAATTTATCAGCTTCATCAAAGTCTAAAGGCTCACCAAGCCATTTCTGGTGATCATTTCCACGTGTTTCTGTGAGTATAGTTGATATTTCCTTGATTATCTTTGCTTCAACTTCAGGATGGTTCATCACTAGCCAGAAGAACCAGCTAAGAGCAACAGATGAGGTGTCACGGCCGGCGAGGACGAAGTTGAGAGCAATTCGTTGCAGAACAGAGATTGGGAAGTGGTTGCCGTCAACGTCTCGCTTCTTCATGAACCGCGATAACAAATCATCCGATGGGTTTTCTTTGCGTGCTGCAATGGCATCATCCATGTACGTTTCCACAACTTCGAGGCTCCTCTTTAATCTCTTCTCTGCTCCAATCCCTAAAAGCTTCTCCACCCTCCATAAGAAACCAGGGTAAAGAAGCCTCTGAAGAGTAGCTTCAGTGGCCGTGTCAAAGGCAATAGAAAATGGATTATCTGACATTTCTGGAGAGAGAGTTACTGGATCTTTTCCAAATGTGAGTCCACATATGTTATCGAAGGTTAAGCGAAGCAACAAGTCTTGCAAGTCCACAGAAAGCTTCTCTGTAGCAGCCTTGTCCAAAATGTTCCATAGACGATTCTTGATTGTCTGGTTCACCCACCGAGCCATGGCCTGCCGTAAAGTCCGAGTAGTGAACTCGAGAGCTGCGGTTTTGCGTTGTATGAGCCACGTTTCTCCATCAGTGTTAAAGATCCCTTGGCCTAAAAGATCGTGAAAGGCAGTTTGCCAATCGGGTCCTTTGGGATAATTATCAAACCGGGTTCGAAGAATATGTTCCATGTTTTTGGGGTGGCAGGTGACAGTGTAGAATCCTTGTTTGCGAGCAAAGAAAGGAAGTGCTATCGTGCACGTTTGGTAGGTTCCGGCACCACCAGTTGCACGGAGGTTACCAGCAATCCAGTCATGGATTCTTCTCCGGTTCATGAAGAGATATGGAAGGCTACCCACTAGAGGCCATACTCTTGGGCCAGTAAGTTTACGAGATAGGAGATAGAACCATAGGAGATAAGCCAAAGCAGCAGCTGCTAGGGTGAAGAACAAAGGCAAGGTCTCCATCTCAAGGTTGGTGTATTGTATTTGTGAAAGGGGCTGCAGTGGACACTGGATGATGAGAGGGATGGTATGAAGAGGTGTTACATATATTGGTTGGCATATAAAGAAAGTTTTAGGAGCAGTTGTTAGGAAAAAATTGTGCATTTACGCAGAGGTCGTTGCTGGGTTGATAGGAACTGTACGAGAGAATGCACACGAAAACCATATTGCAATGCAAACTACTTTTAATTTTACTGCTACTATTTCTAGTCATCCGAGCAGGTGCAATTTTCCAAATGCTTAGACATTGGCTAAAAGCGTTGGTGCCTGGAAACTGACTCCAACAAGTTTCTAATCCAGCTAAATGTGGATTGCTTGAATATTTTTATCAAATTGTTGACGACTTTTTGTTCTTGATAATATTTTATCAAGAAAGACAGAACAAACACATACGCTCTCAGAATGACAGTCTCTTCTCTGAGAAAATGATGGTTTTTCTTTGACAGATGAGACAATAATTACTTATCTCTTTTGAAATACATTGTTATGCTATTGAATATTCGGAATTGGCGGTGGTTTTTTTTTAAAAAAATTTTTTTAATTTATTCTTGATACTAGCATAGTATGAAAGTGATTTAAAAATATAAAAACATAAAATTAATTTAAACAAGAAAAAAATATTTTAAAAATAAAAAAACAAATGGGTTCTAATCAAGCGCACAGGTCGTTGCTCAGAATTGATTTTCACAAGAATCCACATGATTGCTCTTTGAGTACAGAAATTAATTTGCTGTATTTGCTTGTTCCAAAATATATGAGTCAATGAACTTAATTTGTTATGCATCGATACAAAGGGTATGCAAAATGTTGGGGTTTGCATGTTCATAGTTTTTTTAAAAAGACAATTTAGCTATCAGTGAATGAGAAGTTTCATGCCACTTGTTTTCTTGGAAAATATTTATAAAATAATCGATTTAAAGGATATATAAAATATTTTTTATATTATCATATTATTTTTGGTGTGTTAATATTAAAAATAAATTTTAAAAAATAAAAAACTATTATTTTAATATATTTTTAAATAAAAAAACTACTTTAAAAATAAATACCGCTTCAACAAAAATAAAATCAAGGATGCAATATATGAAAAAAAGAAAAGAAAACAGCAGTCCAAAACCGCACTTAAAATCTATATTATGATTGTTAATTTCGAAGACACGCTAACCATTCCCTTCTTTAGCTAGTAAGACTAGCCCTAATTAGAAACTCGAGTGTCATCTTCTTGGCTTTCCCATGCCAATAATTAGTCGACCGTACGTGTGTGTTCTAGAAAGAGAGTCGTTAGAGACGGTTGACCCGCAACGAGAAAAATGGGCTTTCTCTAAAATCAGGAAAAAAGACGCGAGGAAAAACAAGAGCTGAGACATGCAAGGAAGTTGATTCGACTCTCGGGTGCAGTAGTCCCGAGAGGACGAAACGTCGAGAGAGAGAAATTTAAGGGCCCAAAAGTTTCCTGTTGCCTTTTCTTAGGGAAAACTAACACCAACTCTTTGAATATTAGCAGACGTCCAACCCTTACGCACAAACCAAATCGACCGTTTGCAGAAAGACAAATTGTTTGGTGCACACAATGCTACCTTTAATTGTTCGCACTCTACTGCTATTTCCACAACAATCTCAACCATTCTGTGGACACGCACTGCCAACGCAAGCGACTTGGCTATATAACTTGAAAAGAAGTGGGAAAATGGCGTTTCCTTGCTAAAGTAGCTTAAGGGTCATCGTCAAGTACTTTTCCATTACCTTAAAACTAGTCAGGGAAGACGATGATGAATTCCAACTGGCTAGGCAGCCAGCCATATCTTAGTTCATGCAGTTAATTGGATTTCAAGCGATTGACCTGGAAATCAAACTGTATTCAAATTTATATATAATACAAGACAAACCGAAGGAGAAAAGGTGGTAATATTTATTTACTCGAGCTGTCGCTGCATCTGTCTAGTTCTCAACGATTTGGGGTTGGTTCGGGAAAGCAGAACGACCCTAAAAGTGATAGCAAAAAAAAATTGAAGGCAGCCGAAGTAGTAGACTAGTCTGTGTATGTTGCTTGAGTTTATTACAAGGACAGAGTCAGAGTTAGATCACCCACTTACAAGTACAGTACCTTTTGGCACTGCATAATATGGGCTATATATATGGTGCAGATAGAAAACAATGGGTTTTACAACAACTTTGAACCATCTCAACTCAGAATGAATCAACAGCTCATGAATATAGTGACATGTGATGCTTTGCACTTTCACTCATCGGCAATTATTTCGCGAGAAAGTGGATTTCAAGCACCTAACATGCATATTTATCAATATTTTTTATTTTTATATAACACATTCTTCCACCCTCTAAAATCAAACCATGAAAAAGAACCTATTAACTTGAGATATTTGATTAATCACATACTTGTATGCCGGTTAAAAAATAAAAAGAGATAGAATTTAATTGTATTATTATTACTTGACTATTTACTTGTGGCTCCAAGGATATGACTTGTCGAATTGTTTTTTATCTTCTTGAATGTCTTCTTCGGCGCATATTAAATCGAGTAATAATTCCTTTCTTTCTTGAACAGAACAGGTATCGCCCTAGATATTCTTGCTTCCTTTTATTTTGTTTCCATTACATCTGGGGATTCTATTGTTTTTTTTGTTTTTTTGACAATCAGGCCCTATGCCCGAAACAAATAGCTGACTAAAACACTCCGACAAGACCTGTTCCTGGTTTTGGTAGTGATTAGGCTCAATTTTAATATGTTAGAGTTTTGTGGCTAAGATCCATCTATCTGCTCTAATAACAGGCCGAGCCTTTGATATATTCTTTTTGGGCCCTTTGTTGATTTTCCCCCCAGACAAGAACAAGATGTTGTCCCTCGGGCTTACGCAGCCTCCCCTCTCACATTACTATTGCTGTAAGTATTGTTATTCGGTTTTATGTCATGGGTTCTTGGATTTATCTTCAGACAATATTATATATATTATTTTTTAAAATAAAACAATATTGTTTAGATAAAAAAATGAAACATTTTCTTGAACAAAAACTAAAAACTATGTGGAATTAACTTTACTTTATTAAACAAATTATAAGTTAACTTGCTAGATTAATAATTGATTTAAAAAATAAACTTGGTTCAAGTTAGGTACTAGTTCAACTTGTCTAACCGGACAAGGTTTAATAAATATGCACATTAACACTATTTATTTTTAAAAAACAATTTGACACAAGTTTTTTATGATTATTTTATTTAAAAAGATTTTTGTAATCAAGATTTGCTCATGTAGTAAAATAATTTTTAAATTATTGGTTTTTCTTACTGCCACTAATTAGCTGAGTTCACATAACGCTTGTAAGCATTTAATATTAATTCTCCCAATCCTTAATTCCCTAGTAGATGAAATCAAACAAAATGTCAAAGTAGGCCATATTAAAAGGTCTTAAATTATTGACTGCTTTGAGTGTTTTTTATTATTATTTCAAATTAAATCCTATTCAAAATGTAATTCTTATTTCTAACTTGGTTTTCTGTTTTTTTCTTTTCTTTTTATAGATGCAGACTTACATAAATATCATACTTCTCTAGCCAAATAAGTGCATTTTGTTTGCCTAAAACTGTGTCTGAAAAAAAACAAAAAAAAAAAAAACTATGCAGATATTTGGATGCTCTACTTTACAAAAACAAGTCTTTATTAGAATAGAAGAAAGTTAAAACCAAGATTATTTACCTAACCGAAACCGACTCTTATTATGGATACACGGTTTTATTTATATAAATTTATTTTTAAAAAATTAGAAAATATTATTTTAATTTTTTAAATAAAAAGATTAAAAAATTTGATCCAGTAAAAAAATCATTGGTTCATCAGATTTAATAGAATAAACTCTAATTTGTTTTTTTAAACTCAGTCTAAACCACGTTCTAAACCGACCCGGCAAGCCAGGTCAAATAATACGGGTTAAAACCATACACATAGATTGGACAGGGATGGGCCACTGATGATGAATCTTAAGGTAATGCAGAGACCAAATTATCATCAAATTGCATGGGTTATCATGCTGCCACGTGTGAAATCTCTATCCATATCTCCTATTTTTCTCATCTTTCATTTTTTTCCACCCGTGAGAAGAAAATCGAGAGCCAATAGAAAAGGGTTGAAGATAAGCCACTTGTGGAGAGCTCGCGCTCCAAACGCTTCCCACAACCCTCAAAGTCCCATCCAACGGCTAAAAATACACGTTCCCAGTAGCCAAGAAAAATATACCACCATAGCCATATAAACAGCTTGGTTCCACTACTATCTTTGCTTCCACATTTTTTTCAGAAATCAAAGCAAACAAGGGGTGCTAGAAGATAAGAAGATGGCTTCTCTTCCCATCGCCTTCGCTGTTCCTTCTGTTAGAGTGTATGCAGCCACAGCAGCTAAAGGAGCAGGGGGCAGCAAAGAGGAGAAAGGGCTTCTTGACTGGATTATTGGGAGTTTGCAAAAGGAAGACCAGTTCTATGAGACTGACCCCATCCTCAAGAAAGTGGAGGGGAAGAACAGTGGTGGCACCGCCAGTGGACGCAAGAACTCTGTTGCTGTCCCCCAGAAGAAGAAGACTGGAGGCTTTGGTGGCCTGTTTGCCAAGAATGATTAAGTTTGTCTGTTAAACTTTATCTGTGTGCATTTGATGATTCTTGAACTCTAAGTTGTATGTTTCTATCTCTTGAACACTACTTACTTTTTTTGGTTTCTTTTCTTCCATGTCTAAGGATCATGAATTCATTTCAAGTCACTTAACAAGACCTTTGAAAAATATATGTAATAATTATTAGGCTAATGCCCCAGAAAATCCAATGAACACCAATTACTTAAATAGAGATAGCAGCATCCCAGGACATCCAGGATTTCAGTACATTCTAGCCCGTAAAGGATAAGTTTGCAAATCACCACATATGTATCAGGACCGGGTAAAGGACTTAAAATGATTGGAGAAATCATGTATGTTTCTCGGCTTTTCACCTTTGACATATGCATGCTACGTTTAATTATATGATAGTATATTTATATA